ATTATTAGGTACACCTTGCTAGTACCGGGTTGGACCCTCTTTTTCCTTCAGAACTGCCTTCATTCTTCATGGCATAGATTCAACAAGGTATTGGAAACATTCCTCAGAGATTTTGGTCCAGATTGACAAGATAGCATCACGCAGTTGCTGCAGATTTGACGGCTGCACATCCATGATGCAAATCTCCCGTTTCAGCACATCCCAAAAGGTGTTCTACTGGATTGAGATCTGGTGTCTGTGGAGGCCACTGGAGTACAGTGACCTCATTGTCATGTTCAAGAAACCAGTTTGAGAGGATTTGAGCATTGTAACATGGTGCATTAGCATACTTGAAAAAAGACAAAAGTCCATCCAGTTCAACCATTTAAAAAAAAAAAAAAAAAACAACCCCAGCAAAGCATGACGCAATTTGCTCCTGCAGGGGAAAAATTTCCTTCCTGATCCCCCCCCAAGAGGCAACCGGATATTCCCTGGATCAACTTTACCTATAAATGTTAGTATCCAGTTATATTCTGTGTATCCAAGAAATAATCCAGGCCTTTTTTAAAGCAAACCACTGGGCTGGCAAGAAGCAACTCTTGAGGGAGTCTATTCCACATTTTCACAGCCCTCACTGTGAAGAAACCTTTCCGTGTTTGGAGATTGCATTTCGTTTCCTCCAAACGTAAAGAGTGCCCCCTTGTCCTCTGTGATGACCTCAGGGTGAAAAGCTCTACACCGAGTTCACTATATGAACCACTGATATATTTATACATGTTGATCATATCCCCCCTTAATCTCCTCTTCTCAGGAGAGGATCAATCTTTCCTCATAGCAGAGCTCCTCCATGCCTCGTAACAGTTTAGTTGCCCTTCTCTGTACTTTTTCCAGTTCCCCAATGTTTTTTGAGGATTGATGTCCAAAACTGAACTGCATATTCCAGATGAGGTTTTACTAATCATTTGTACAGAGGTAAAAGTATCTCTCTCTCTGGAGTCTATGCCTCTTTTAATACAAGAGAGGATTTTGCTTGCATTAGAAACCGAAGCTTGGCATTGTATGCCATTATTAAGCTTGTGATCTACCAGAACTCCTAGATCCTTCACCATTGATTCCTCCAGTTGTACCCCCCCTAGTGTGTATGATGCATGCATATTCTTAGCCTCCAAGTGTATAACCTTACATTTATCAACATTAAACCTCATTTGCCACATAGTTGCCCAATTATACAGTGCATTGAGGTCGGCTTGTAAGTTTTAGACAGCCTGTAGGGACGTTATTCCACTGCACAGCTTGGTGCCATCTGCAAAGGCTGAAATGGTATTTATAATCCCAGACCCTCAATAGTTTATAAAATATATTAAAAAGTAAGGGTCCCAACACTGAACCTTGGGGTACACCATCAACAACCCTAGACCATTCAGAGTATGAATCATTAACTACTACTCTCTGAATATGATCTTCTAGCCAGTTTTCTATCCATTTACATACAGATTTTTCCAAGCCTGTAGACTGTACCTTACACATTAGCCCTGTGTGGGGAACTGTGTCAAACGTTTTTGCAACATCCAAGTATACCACGTCCACCACCACCCCTCTGTCCAAGGTTTTGCTCCTCCTCATAAAAAGAAATCAGATTTGTTTAACAACTTCTGACTTTCATGAATCTATGCTGTCTGTTGCTAAAGATATTTTTTCCAGCAAGAACTTATCTATGTGGTCTTTTATTAAACTCTCCAGCATCTTCCCAAATATAGAAGTTAAACTAACAGGTCTATAAATTACCTTGTAAATATTTTGACCCTTTTTAAATATTGGCACCACATTGGCCTTACGCCAAATCAGTGGTACTATGCCAGTCATTAAAGAGTCCCCTAAAAATGAGAAACAATGACTTTGAAATGACAGAGCTCAATTCTTTAAGGACCTGTGGATAGATGCCATCCGGTCAAGGTGCTTTATTCTGTCTAAATATTTTTGGATCATATCAATTGTGAGCCAATGTGGATCATCTGGAGCTGTCAATACCATGCCCATTATGGACAAGAGCTCCCCCGTGCTCCTTTGTATACACAGAGCTGAAGAAGGTATCTAATAATATTTGCCTTCTCTTTGTCTCCAGTCACCCACTCTAGATTATTTTTAAAGGGCCTACATGCTCAGGCTGGACTTTTTTACTATTAATATATTTGAAGAATTTTTGGGGGTTGGTCCTGCTATCTTTTGCAAGCTGTCGTTTGTTTGCAGTTTTTGTGGCCTTTATTTGCTTTTTGCTTATTCTGTTATATTCTTTGTAATGTTTAAATGATGATAGCATTCCTTCATTTTTTATATTGAATAAAAGCTCTTTTCTTATTATCTATAGCTTTTTTAACTTTGGCCATAGCCACATAGGTTTGATTTTTAGCCTTTTAAACTTGTTGCCTAAGGAAATATATTTTGCAGTGTGTTCACATCCAGTCTTTTTGAAGAACTCCCATTTCTGTGTTGTGTTCATTGATGCCAATATTCCCTCCCAGTCTAAGTCTTGGAGAACAGCTCTCAGCCTTGGAGAATTAGCTCTCTTGAAATCGATTGTTTTTATTTTTCCCATATGTGCTTGCTGTTTACAGCGAACAATAAAATTAAATCATGTTATGGTCACTGCTACCCAGATTTTCTTTTATATGGACATTCGTAATAAGTTCTGATTTGAGCTTTGTGGCATTATCGTGCTGCAAGTAGCCATCACTGTAGTTACAAAGGGATGGACATGGTCAGCAGCAATACTCAGGTAGGCCATGGCATTTAAACGATGCTCAGTTGATACTAAGAAAATATCCCCCATTCCATTACAGCACCAGCCTGAACTGTCAATACAAGGCAGGATGGATCCATGCCTTCATTTTTATGCCAAATTCTGACCCTACCATCTGAATGTCGCAGCAACCAGTCTGCCCATTCTCCTATGACCTCAACAAGGCATTTTCATCCACACAGCTGCAGCTCAGTGGATATTTTCTCTTTTTTGGAACATTGTCTGTAAACCCTAGAGATGGTTCTGCATGAAAATCCCAGTAGATCAGCAGTTTTTTTAAATACTCAGACCAGCCTGTGTGGCACCAACAACCATGCCACGTTCAAAGTCACTTAAATCCCTTTTCTTCCCCATTCTAATGCTCAGTTTGAAATTCAGCAAGTCGTCTTCACTACGTCTAGATGCCTAAATACGAGTTGCTGCCATGCGATCGGCTGATAAGCAATTTGTGTTACCAAGCAACTGAACAGGTGTACCTAATAAAGTGGGCGGTGAGTGTACATTGCAACTTTGATGCAGATTCCTACCTTTTGTTATTCTGAAGAAACAGCTGTTTGTGTCCATGTGCAAAGTGAATGTAAATGTTTTATAATTATCAATCATCTGCTGCACTTGCAGGTTTCTAATGAGGAGGGTGCCAGGGTCTGCATCGCTTTAGATGTGATTTCCCTTAAGAGTATCTCACCAAATAGGACAATATGACCAAAATAAGACTTGTATCTTACCCTAGGTTCACACCTAAGCATTTTCTGCAGCGTTTTGCAGAAACACAGTACAGTCCATGTAACAGGATTTCCTATGGGACATGTTCACATCTGCACCAGGGGCGGACTGACAACTCATGGGGCCCCTGTGTGCTTGCCCAAACTCAAAAAAGCCTATGAAAAAGGTACCAGGGGCATCTCATGGGGCCCCCTACTGACACCCGGGCCCTCGGGCACTGCCCGTGTTTCCAAATGGTCAGTCCGCCCCTGATCTGCACGTTTTCACCTGGTGCGTTTTTTGGAAAGGGTCAGGGACGGGACTTTAACGCAAAACATTGCGTTTTTGGTTCTATAGACTTCAATGGAAACGCTGCAGAAAAGCATGGGTTGAGTTTTTGCGACATTATAAAATCTGCCCTGCAACAAAAAAAACATTTCTGGGGAAGGGGGGGGGGGGGGGGGGGTTCTGTACACCACCTGTGCACAGAATGCCTGAAAGTTGCCGTATTTGCATTTACAGAACTGCAGATTGAAAAGTTAATTTTTAAACATTCAATTACAATATGAATCGTGTAGCAAATGTATATGCTATATATTGTTTATTTGCCATTATTTAAAGGGGAAGTGGAGTTACCCTTTAAAATTCATTTACAGTCATAAGATAAGACTACCAGTTGACAACTACCTTCATTAGAATCATTGTATGGCAATTTAAGCAAGAAGAAGAGTTAAACCTCAATTAAACAGTGTACTCAAACCATTAGAAGTTCTACAGGAGACCTAGTGATGTAGAGGATATTAGTGAACAGTACCACCATGGCTACAGAACTGTACCCAAGCTTAAAATGTTCTATTTAAATCATCAGATGCATGATATAGCATGTCTTAGCATTGCTCTGCAAGGTGTTAGCAATATCAGCTATTATCTTCCCTTCACTTGCCTTGCCGGTCATCATCGTATAGTTTGTGGCTGCTCTATTCAGCATGGCATTATTTCAGATCGCCTGCACACTTTAAAATCCACAAGTGGGCATTGCAGAACTTTTCCTCTATGCTGCCAATTCACAGTGTGCAGGAGAGTTGAGGGTGTGTCAGTGGCTACCATGAACACAATCACAGGCTCTCCTACATACAAATGGCCACATTCTGTACAATAAACAGACAAAGAAGCTTAATAGGTGACAATAGCTGATGTTATTTGCCAGCAGCATGTGTGGGCATCTGTAATTTAAATAGAACTTTTTTTTTTAACCTGCATATCTATGGCAAACTGCCACTCTGGGAAGGGCAGACGGGTATACATCTGCTCATTCAAAGAGCTAGGACCAACAACTTTTTCTTTTGAAATTTGCTCAAATAACTGTAGTACCTGCAGTCAACACCCTCACTGAGAACAGAATGGATAAGCCATGTCATACAGGCTGAAAGTAATTCAATTTTTATTTGGAAAAAAAAAGACTTACCATAGCCATCTCAGAAAAAAACAAAAAAACAAACAAAACAAAACACAGACCACTTACCAACTAGTAGTTTCACATCCCTGACAGTAAACTCCTGATCTGGCATCCTACAATAGGAAAAGCAAAATGGGTGTAATCCATGCAGGTATATATGTGATGAGAAGAAGGAACACAGACATGGTTTGCGTGATTGCTAATAACAAATGATTGGCATATTCTTACAAGGATATGCCATGTCATGGAAAAAAAAAAAAAAAAAAAAGTCACATTGGGGAAGGTTGGCATCTCCATAAATAGACATTTATATGAACCATCAACAGAAAAGGATACATATACGCAAATAATGTATGATACAAAATACTGGACTTACTTAATACCTAGTCCATCCTTGCTAAGAAAAAGAAGAGGGACTCTAAGGGCTTCTCTTTGAACATATTCATATGTAAAATCTATTGAGAAAAAAAAAAAAAAAAAAAAAAGAAGACGACACACATGACTTTTCTTACACATGACTGTACACAAACTGCAAAGAACACAAATAAGGTTCATAATTTTCTATTCCAACAGAAAGTGAGGGGAACACTTTCTAGCGGGGACAGACTGCAGATGAAAATCTAACAAAGGTTCGATCATCCCCAATCTATCCAAAACAAAAAAAAGTTTCAAATAGAATTTGACACCCTTTGTTGCCCACCTGAAAAAATACTGATCTTCCTCTACAGCGACTCCACGGATTCCAATAGGTAAGCCATTCTCATGGTAACCTCACTGGTCCAGCAGAGTACGGCCTACCTATAGTAATGTATAGGTCCACTGGCTGCGCACATATGCAAATCAGAAGAGAATGTTTTTGCTGGAATGCAAATGCAACGGCAGCAGGGCCGCACAGCAACGACTGCTGGATTGAAGGAGGTAAGAGTTTGTCCAGGTAGGCAGCACTCAGAGGATGGGAGAACCAATTAAATAACTGTATTAATAGTATAGTTTTTTCCTTTAAAACAAAATTATAAAATATACAAGGCACAAGGTCCGAAGATATATCAGTATTTCCAGTACCTTTAAGTTACATACCAAAAAGGACACAGCAATTAGGTAGCTAGTTGCTTGAAATGATAAATACTGCTGTACTTAAGTAAAGCTTTACAATATGAAAAAGAGAATTTGATACACAATTTGCATAGGCAGGACCACAGTACATATGGATAGAAGAATGCACAAAGAGCAAACGTGTTACTCTGCCTTACATTTATTATATAGTATTAGTACATAAGCAAACAGAAACAAGGGTACAGCAGGAACACCGGAAAGCTTAAAATGGGCCACAGGTGAGCAGACCTTCTTGTCAGTTTAATTAAAGTGTCACTATACCCACAACAGTAAAATCAGTCTGTATATGCAGTAAAGCATGCTTGTTATACTCACTGGGGAACTCGAGGGGTCAATCCTCCGCATTATGTAAAAAAGATGTTTAATCCTGTCTTTGCCAATCCTCCCCTTCTTCCACTGTCCCCAACTCATCTCCTGATAGAAAAGAGCCTTGGGGGGCAAGCTGAACATGCTCAGTTTGGTGTGTATTGCTATAGAGGTTTTATTTTAACTTGGGAGAGTGCATGTGATCAGCACTGGACCAATCAGCACTGTCCAGACAGAGGGTCAGGGGTCCTGCATAGGACAGTGAGAGGAGAACAAAAACTTCTCCTACAAGCTTTAACCAGTGCTCTGCTGGACACTAATAGTCAACAGACTGCTGTAACTGCTGATGAGAAAAAGGTATTTAGCAGTTTGTATTTACTAAAATAATTGCACTTCCATGTGGTGTGTAATGTGGGAGACCAGATATAGTGAACGCAGGGTCCTGGGTTTAGAAACACTTTAAAGTAGATCTGCAAGTATTTTCAAAGTTGTGTTCAATCTTTCTTTTACAAAGAATTTTATTATAGAATAGATATGAGCAAAGAATCCGTCAAAAAACATATACATTGACCAATCGAAATGAGACATACACGGTATTTGCTTAGTGTTACAGAACATGTACTGGTAGAGATATGGACATAAACTGAATATTTAAGTGCCGTGGATGTGTTCAATCTTTCTAAATAGGAAACCTATTAAAATAATAAATCGGACAATCCTGCCATTGAGCTCCTTGTTTAGGGACGGACGGTTTTTTTTGTGACAGCAATCTCCAAATTGTGTTCCTGTGTCATCACCCTGCCATGCACTCCTGGTAAAGACTACAAATAGCAACACACATTGCACAAGCATGTTACACCAATATCACAATCAGGAAACTAGTCAGTGCAGCTGGCAATGGAGTGCATGCATGTAACAGTAAATGGCTTAAACAGGTGAGAGGAAATCAGCAGTGCTGAGATGTAAAAAGAAAAAAAAAAAAATTAAAATTATGGTTTTCAGTATACTATAAGAACTGGACTTAGTAAACGCTCATCCTCGCCTTTTTTTTTTTTTTTTTTTTTTTTTTTAAAAGTCAGCAGCTAGGTACCCAAATTTGACAGGTATCTGCTCCTACACTCGCTGCGATCGCCTAGGCAATCGGAAGTGGAAGTTGCTCCCCGTAGTCTTCTGGGACATGTGATAGGTCCCAGAACACTACAGGACCATTCAAAAAGTGCAGCGCTTCTCACTCATGCACAGTGGGCACCCGGCTGTGAAGCTGCCACAGCCGGGTGCCCACACTGAAGAGGTCAGCGCTGGGGACACAGGACAGCCGGTGAAACAGGCTGTGGTGGGGACACTGCAGGATTGAGGGACAGATGTGTGTCTGTTTTTTTTTTTTTTTTTTTTTTTTAAAAAGTCAGCATCTACAGCTTTTGTCACCATTATGCTGCAAGCCTTAGACAGGAAGGTATATGAGATTTGTTTAAAATTTTTTACATTTCTTCAGCTGCTTCCTGGCCAAAGCCAAAAATGATGTCATACATCCCAGGAGACTTCATAGGCAGTTTCTTCTATCATCTGGAGGAGGAGCTCAGCTAAGCACACCCTCCTGCCAGCATGCCTGGTCTAAGAGCAGATGGATTCCAGGAAGTAAATGCTACACAAATCATCTACCCTTACTAAAGATGACTGACTATTAATGCTGGAGGTGTTTATTTTCAATGTGATTTATCAATATAAAGAGGTGTGTGAGATTATAGAATTTCTTTTTTTTATTATTTATATTACACACACCCGATGCCCAGGACACGTAGTTCCAGGTAAGCAGCAGGGCTCCACTGTCAGGTGAAAACATTCTTCAGGCTCTGATTGCAAAAGCATGTACGCTGTACTGTTTACGATAGCATTCCTGTATACCCAAGTACAGTGGCACAGCAATTCATGTCAATGACAGGCTGTAGTACAGCACACATAGGCAACGTGAGAGGGACAGAGCCGCGGTCAGTCACCACTGTGCAGGAACAGAGAAGACTGGCTTTTGCTCTGTGCGCCCCATTTGCACTGTGCCTTGGTGAACAGTGGAATGCTGCACAAGCAGCTGTAGTACAGAGCAGTTGCGCACATAGAGGGGACTCCTACATGACTCGATAGGAAAAGCAGAAACAAACAGCCAATACATGCAAGATATATTATCAGTTTTTGTGAAAAATATAGACTTTAGCCCTTGTTCACACCAGTGCAGCTTTGAAATCATGCTACTTCGGTGCAATTTCAAAACCGCAGATCAGTGAGACTTGGATGTTAGATTTCATTGCTTGTAACGTCATTTAACAGAAGTCAATGCAAGTCGCAATGGAATCACAAAAAAGTAGTGCAGGAACCTTTTTTTAAAGTCGCTGCAACTTGGATTGCAATATAAACAGTACCATTGCCGCAAATGGGGTGTGACTTGTCATATGATTCTGAGCTGTCAAATCACATGACAAATTGCATTGGTGTGAATCAAGGCCTGATGTCACTTTAGAGCAATTCTAAAAGATTCCTTTTTTTGGGGGGGGGGGGGGGGGGGGGGGGGGCAGCTCAGATCCTCCTCTTTTCTAGTCCCCCGCAGACTCTCCTGGACCCTCGCTCCTGTCGGGTGCCTCCACAGTAAGCAGCTTGCTATGGGGGCACCCGCTGCTCCGTGTGTCCATTCGCACAGGGAGCCATGGCTTGGCCACGTCCCCATCTCTCCCCATTGGCTGACTGGCTGTGATTGACAGCAGCCAGAGCCATTTGCTCCCACTTTGCTGTCTCAGCCAATGAGGAGGCAGAGACCCCCGACAGCTGAGGTAAGCATTGAGGGGGCTGGGGGCACTGCTGCACACAGGTTTTTTACCTTCATGCATGAATATAAACAAAAAAAAAAAAAAAAAAAACCCTTCAGCCTTTACAACCACTTTAAAGTCTCTCACATAGTCACTGTAGAAGGCTTAATCTATGAAGTAGAATATATACTGGACTGTCATACTGCATTCATTCAGTGGCCATCCATTAACACTACAGTACACAAAGCAGCATCTGTCACTACCTTTGCCCTCCATGACCTGCACGTAGTCCCCTCGGTAGTTGGTGCTGCTGACCTTCTGCTCCAGGCTGAAGCCACGAACGCTGACCACATCCTCCACATCCGATAGGTCTTCATGCTCGGCGTACTGCGTCCGACCGATGGCACGCTGTGGGGAAAATATACAGGTCTACAGTCACAATCTACTGCGATGAAGTATTCCCATCTATACCAACTCCTCAGAACAAATACCATATCCACTGTAAACATTAGATATGTGCACAAAGAATCACCTTAGTGTTTTTAAATATAGGCTTACTGCCTTAAAAAAAAATAAAAAAAAATGAAAAAATTACTTTCTTATCATATAAATGCTAAATTTGAAGAGCAACTCAACTGGAGGTGGTGCTGGAAAAAATGTGTTGAATGTGGTCGCCCTACCATGCCTGTTTTGCACAATGGTTACGTATGGAAGTGGTCGACTTATTAGAGGCAGGGTTTTGACCCTCGTGTCAAAGTCTGCAGCAAAAAAGCACAGAATGCACCACAGTAATGACGAATATCATTCAATCTTCAGAGACTAGTAGTCAGAGGCAGCAGTGCCTTAGATCTCAGACTGCAGAAATACAGCTACACCTCTGTAGGCACAGGAGTGGAGTGCCTAGCCACACTCACATACCTAGAAGCGCACTACTATTTTTCAGTAGAAACTCCGACAAATGGGACACTTTTCAAAGTACTTCGCAGACACAATTAACATTTCAAAACATTACCCACAACATAGCAAATCTATACTTTTGAGTTCAGTTCCAGGTCAGACAAAACAAAAACTAGTATTTCAGCTTAAATAGATGCTGGACAGTTAAAGTAAATCTAAGGCCGGCCATAGACCATTCGAATTCAGCAGGAACCAGCCGAGATTCGAACTGTGTGGGCAGGCTGAATGTACCAAGTACGATCGATTACCTTGGGTACAACCAACCTGCTGGATTTACTTGCAATTATCACTATAGCTATAGTCGCTAGCGGTAATCACAGCCTTCACCAGGTGTGGAAGGCTTCCTCCCCTCCCCCCCACTGAAAGAAGGCAATTGTTTGGCAGGAGGGAATTCCCCTGTCAGCACTGTTTGTGTTGATGGGAAAATCGTGAGAATTTCTTTCCTGCAATCCGTGGGTCCAGGAAAGAAATTTGCACCATCTATGGCCGACCTGAGATCAAAACGTCTTTTTCGTTTCATGTTTTGTAGAGGCTAGATATATTTAACACACACACACACACACACACACACACACACACACACACACACACACACACACACACACACACACACACTTTGTATTGGGAAATTTTGCTTCATTTACTGTTCCACAAAATCTGTCCCAATAACATTGGTCACCAGGACAATTCAAGGTAAATCTCCACAATGGGGATACAGACAGCAATGAAAGCAGGACAAGGTTCTAATGATCCCCTACTCTATTTGAAACGAAAAAAAAAAAAAAAAAAAATTCAAAATAAAATTCCAAATGTTAAGCCTCTATTCCCATGGCAATATTATTGAGCTTGTGTTCCAAGACTTTCCTGGACCATTATGTAGATGCATAACTTTCCACATTATTTTATTAAATTATACATTTAAAAAATCCAGAGGGGAATGTATTAACCCAAGGGGATCAGGCAAAGAACCAAAACAATAAGAAGGGAGACACCTCTTGTATATGTGTGGCTGCTGGGCAGGGAATGCCTCCTCTCCCTTTGATTGACTGTTGGCTTTGGCCTTTGGCAACGTCCTGGTGGGACAGCTCAGGGAGGTTGGATTTGTGTCTGAACGCACCTGAGCTCATCCTTAGTCACCAGGATCACCAGAACTAGTGTTCCCATTGGAAGATTTCCCCTGTATACACCGGTTGTAGTGACAACTCAAAACGAGTGATTTACTTTCACTTTCAATGAGAACGGTCAACAAGAGAAAAAAAAAAAAAAAAAAAAAAAAAAAAAAGAGTATGAATCACTTGAACGGGGATGCAGACAGGAAAAAAAAAAATAATAAACCCGACAGTGGTTCTAATCCCTCTTCACCCTATTCAAGGGATTGATTAAACCCCTCTGAAAGTTGGCGGGCGGTGATATGTTGCTGCATTATCACCTGGTTTAACCACTGTAGCACAGCTTCATTTATTTCAATGGGTTGCAATTGACAGCAGTATGATGTTGAGATGATGCCTTGGGGTTATAATTTTTGCCATGAAGCAAAGCACCAAAACCATAGCATGTGTAATAACCTGTCTACCTTTGATAGGTTAAGGGGCGGTCAGAGGGTGGTAAAACCACATCATTGTAAGCACCCCGATCAGTGGTAAATGGATTGTCTCATCCGTGTAACTGCTACATCTGTAGGACAGATACAACAGACTTACTGGCCAGATCACCAGGTGAAAACAAGAAAGAATGCCTAAAAATGAAAACAAATGCAGCCATCACATCTATGGATTGGTAATCAGCAATATAATAACGCCTGGTTCACAATAGTGGGCCGTGCAGCCCTAGTTTTTTTGGGCAAATGAATAGGCTGTTGTGCCACGTGTCCTGCACAAAAAAACGTGCCCACAGGTAAACCACATTGTCTTCTTGACCATGCAGTTTCCCTGCGGTTCCTGCACCCTCAATCGCGCTGGGATGCCATTCAGAATAAATGGCAGCCCTGCGCGTTTTGCCAGAGAAGCGCGGGTGGTTGGTTGGGGAACAGGTGCGATTTCTGCACCTGCTACCAGCCCACAGTATGCAGGCTAGTGTGAACCCAGCGTAAAAGTTTTCTTTTGTGTTTGTTCACTAAAGCAGTGTTAAAGTAATGTAATGCTGCTATTTTATGCAAAACCAGAAATTTTCCACTCTGGCCGATTGGCTCAGTTTGAATCCGATTGGAAGGGAAGTTATAGCTATTCGATTGTTTGTGGAAGTGATCTCTTTGATCACGTGTTGATTGGATAATGAAAATTGAAGCGTATGTGTCTAGTGGTTCTAAAGCTGGTATAGGTTATAATAAAACTGAAGCGTGTGTCCAACGTTTCTAAAGCTGGGTACATACTATTATAATAATAATAATAATATAGAAGCGTGTGTGGCCAGTGCTTCTAAAGCTGGGTACATACTATAATAATATGGAAGTGTATTTGGCCAGCAATTCTAAAGCTGGGTAGTAATAATAATAATAATAATAATAATAATAATAATATGGAAGCATGCGTGGCCAGTGTTTCTAAAGTTGGGTACATAATAATAAAATATGTACCCAGCTTTAATAATAAATATGTACCCAGCTTTAGAAACACTGGCCATGCATGCTTCCATATAATTATAGTATGTATCCAGCTTTAAAAACACTGGCCATGCATGCTTCCATATTATTATAGTATGTATCCAGCTTTAGAAACACTGGCCATGCATGCTTCCATATTATTATTATAGTATGTACCCAGTTTTATAAACACTGGACTCGCTTCCATATTACTATAATAATGATGATAATAATAATATGGAAGCGTGTGTGGCCGGCTAGTGTTTCTAAAGCTGGGTACATACTGTAATAATAATATTAAATATGGAATCGTATGTGGCCAGTGTTTCTAAAGCTGGGTATATAAAATAATAATAATATGGAAGCATGTGTGGCCAGTGTTTCTAAAGCTAGGTACATACTATAATATGGAAGCGTGCGTGGCCAGTGTTTCTAAAGCCGGGTACATACTATAATAATATGGAAGCGTGCACGGCCAGCGTTTCTAAAGCTGGTACATACTATAATAATAAGAATATGGAAGCATGTGGCCAGTGTTTCAAAAGCTGGGTACATACAATATTAATATGGAGGTATGTGTGGCCAGTGTTTCTAAGGCTGGGTACATACTATAATAATATTAATATGGAAATGCATGTGGCCAGTGTTTCTAAACCTGGTACATACTATAATAATAATAATAATATGGAAGCCTGTGTGGCTAGTGTTTCTAAAGCCGGGTACATACTATATTAAATCGACTATAATAATACGGAAGCCTGTGTGGCCAGTGTTTCTAAAGCTGGGGGCACACTATAATTAAATCGAATTGTGCGTGGCCAGTGTTTCTAAAGCCGGGGACATACTATAATAATATGGAAGCCTGTGTGGCCAGTGTTTCTAAAGCCGGGGACATACTAGAATAATACGGAAGCCTGTGTGGCCAGTGTTTCTAAAGCTGGGGGCACACTATAATTAAATCGTATTGTGCATGGCCAGTGTTTCTAAGTTTGGAGGTTAGTAAAGCAGAGGCAGTGCCTTCAGCTCCCTGAAGCGAGAACCCATTGTGGCTCCATCCTGGTGGAAGGTCTGGGCACTGCTCAGGTTGCTGATCCCAGGCAGGACATTTAAATGCCATGTGCAGCTTTGTGTATATAAACAAGGGAGGTGGGCTGGAGCGAGGGACTGGCTGCGGCCGGGAAGACAATACTGAGGCGAGCTGTGCCTGATCGGGGGGAGCAGGTGACGTCCTTCAGGGTGTCCCCCGGTGACGGTGGCCGGATTGATGGTGTCGGAGAGGAGATCGGTGCGTTGGGGCCCTGTATAGGAGAGCGGCACCACGATCAGTTCGTTTCCTCCCATAGAGGAAGAGGAAAGTTGTTGCTCAGGCAGCAGCCAGCAGGGACACGGAGAGCCGCACGTTTACAGGAGGAGAAAACAACAACAAAGCCATGCCGAGCCCAGCACTCCGGGGAGCCTGAGATCTGCTCCCAACATGTGCCATCTGCACAAAGGACACGGCGGATGGAGGCGGCTCTGCACCCGGATAACAACTCCGGACCCACCAACACCCCCCATTCACAGTGCAGCCCCTTCCCCACCACCTTCCCCCCGGACCCACATCTACACACCAATCTTCTTCCAGATCCTTTCTTTGCCTCCATGTTCTGGACAGGAGTGGGGTAAGGGATGCGGAGGAGCGCTCCTCAGTCAATCTCGCCTTGCATGGTGCTGTGTGCGGACAACGCTCGTAAAAGAAAAGTTTACCGCTCGGGCGACAGTCTCCGGCTCGGCTCTACAAACTAGCAGGCTGAGGGGTAGTAGGGTCGGTGACGTCATGATCTACAGAAGGTAACATTGTTCCCGGGCGCACCGACCGCCACATGACTTCCAACTCTCACAACTCCACACAGGGCACGGGCTGCCTACAGTGAATCAGACATTTCCTGACAGTCCGGAGCCTCTCATATTAATATTTGGGTCGGTGACGGCGGATAGGCTGCCCTGTACGCAGGCGCCGTGCACGCTCTTCTCTTTATTTGTTATGACTGCTGCATGAAGTCTGCACTCCTCCGCCTGGACTTTCCCCACCACTCAGCGAGGGCGTGGGCGGGGCCGGGCACGCCCCCTCCGCATGATTGTCTCTGCCTGCTCTTAGCCTTTTTGTTTACAGCCCTGACAGCAGGCTGACATGAGTGTCCGCATCATGGACATGTATTATTCCCACCACAAAGGAGAGAGCCCATCCAGTGGGGGCTGTACGCCCTTCCATAGATGAGTCATTGCTTTTCCCATCAATCTGTAGCCGACAAACCATTGGATCGATATGCCACATACAGGGAAGCAGATTTTGATCGACTGCTAAAGTGCAACTAAAGGCAATCATTTATTTTGGACAGGGAATAGAACACCTGTCAGTTTTTATTGCCATCTGTGCCCCCCATCCCTTAGAGAGATTTAACATCTCTATTTGTTTTTGTTTACTATTGTCATCAAAAGTGAAAGTAAAACAAAAATCCCACATTTTAGGTTTGACACCAGAACAAGAATAGATTGGAAATCTTCCAATAGAGACGCTAGTTCTGCTGGCAACAGAAAAAAGGAAGGGATAGAGAGGCACCAGGCCACCGAGGGTGTATTTATATAGCACTGTCAATTTACGCAGCGCTTTACATACACAGAATCTCCCAGAAGTGAGTACACCCCTCACATATTTGTAAATATTTTATTCTATCTTTTCATGTGACAACACTGAAGAAATGACACTTTGCTACAATGTGACGTAGTGAGTGTACAGCTTGTATAACAGTGTAAATTTGCTGTCCCCCTAAAATAACTCAACACACAGCCATTAATGTCTAAACCGCTGGCAACAAAAGTGAGTACACCCCTAAGTGACAATGTCCAAATTGGGCCCAAAGAGTCAATATTTTGTGTGGCCACCATTATTCCAGCACTGCCTTAACCATCTTGGGTATGGAGTTCACCAGAGCTTCACAGGTTGCCAATGGAGTCCTCTTCCACTCCTCCATGATGACATCATAGAGCTGGTGGATGTTAAAGACCTTGTGCTCCTCCACCTTCGGTTTGAGGATGCCCCACAGATGCTCAATAGGGTTTAGGTCTGGAGACATGCTTGGCCAGTCCATCAGCTTTACCCTCAGCTTCTTTAGCAAGGCAAGGCAGTGGTGGTCTTGGAGGTGTGTTTGGGGTCGTTATCATGTTGGAATACTGCCTGTTGCACAGTCTCTGAAGGGAGGGGATCATGCTCTGCTTCAGTATGTCACAGTACATGTTGGCACAGTACATGTTGTGACAGCAAATATAGACATATACAAGCTGTACACTCACTACTTTACATTGTAGCAAAGTGTCATTTCTTCAGTGTTGTCACATGAAAAGATAGAATAAAATATTTACAAAAATGTCAGGGGGTACTCACTGGGAGATACTGTTTGTTCACATCAGTCCCTAACCCTCAAGATTCATACAATCTAAAGTCCCTAACTCACATTCATACATACACATACTAGGGCCAATTTAGACAGGATCCAATTAACCTACCAGCATATCTTTGGAATGCGGGAGGAATCGGAGTACCCAGAGGAAACCCACACAGACACAGGGAGAACATGCAAACTCCAGACAGGTAGTGCTGTAGTTGAGATTCGAACCAACAACTCTAGTACTACTAGGTGGAAGTGCTAGCCATTTAGCCACTGTGCTGCCCCCAATAGATGGGAAATCTTCCAATAGAGACGCTAGTTCTGGTGGCAACAGAAAAAAGGAAGAGAAAGAGAGGCACCAGGCCACCGATAGCATAGCTCAGTTTATTAGGAAGGCATCAATATACAATAAAATTCACTCACAAAATTTCAAGGTAATGGGCATGTAGTGACAGGAGATGAAGCCACCATGTGCAAGTTCTATCCAGGTGGAAGCCACAGGATATAGTTACATAGTTACTCTGGCTGTAAAAAAGACAAAAGGCCATCTAGTTCAACCATAAAAAAAAATAAAAAAGGTTGTATTCCTACACCCACAGTTGATCCAGAGGAAGGCAAAAAACCCAGCAAAGCATTTGCTCCTGCAGGGGAAAAAATTCCTAGTTGGAGCCTCAGCGGTGAAGCGGTGTAGGAAGCCGGACTGGGCACCAGGGAGCCACCATGAGGAGAGGGCTGTAAGCAGCTATCAGACAACCTGTCAAACCCAGGGACTCTGTAGCCAATAGGGACACATTTTGGAGGCTGGACTACACCTCTTTTCTCACTCTGAGGTGAGAATACAGTGGTATTCATTGCTGCTGATCTATGCAAAATGACATACTTTTTCGAGCTATGATTAAACTGGTTGTAAACCTATGAAATGAAAAATGAACAGAGCATATCCTTCTGTAGTGTACACTTGCCTCAGTCCAAAAAGTGTGATTTCTGTCTCCTCTGTTATTCCTCTGTTATCTGCATAAGTCACTTCTGGCAGGTTATGCCAACACCATGGAATCTAGGGAGACGGCCCTGCCCCCACCCCTACCTCCATTGCCCAAGCAAACAGAAGGTGATTGCCAGCTTCAGCTGTGCATATTTTCCTATGAGACTGTTTGTTTAGAGGGGGGAGTGTCCCTTCCTTCCACTCAGATCTCAGATCACACTCTCCTCTCTATGCTATGCTGTGGGTGACATCAGATCTCTGCCCCCTGCCTGCTGGAGCTGAGAAATAACCTTTGATCTGTGTGTTTAGGAGGCTTTAGAGGAGAGAGGGCTGCAGAGAGACAGGTACAAATTATATAGGAAGATTTGTTTCATCTCCATGTATCACCTGAGGCTAGTCATTTCAGTGGGTATATGTAAGGTTGTAAAACCACTTTAAAGTAGAACTAAAGGCTTTTTTTTATTTTGGATAGAGTAAGGGAGAGTTTTAACCCCAGCCAGGCTTCTCTTTTTATCTTTGCCATCTGTGTCCAATTGGAGAGACTTCCCTTCACATCCTGCCTCATAGCCAAAACAAGAAGTGAGGGAAATCCCTGGTAGCCACTAGGGTCACCATAACTAATGTCCTCATTGAAAGATTTCCTTTCTATTCTTGTTCTGGTGGCAGCTTGAAATTTGGGATTTTCTTTCATATTCACTTTAGTTGATAATTGTACACAGGACAAACATAGAGGGATAATCTCCCTAATGATGGAACAGACATCAATGAAAGGTTAATAATCCTACACTCTGTCCAAAACAAGTTTCCCCACTGAAAGATTTCCCATATATTCCTGTTTTGGTGTCAACCCAAAATTTGGGATGTTTTTTCACTTTCACTGTCACCAGGACGACTACAGAGTGTGAATCTTCCGAACTGGGGCATATGCAGCAATAACAAAAATGACTGGTGTTCAAATTTCTCTCCCCTCTATCCAAAACTAAAAAAAAAAAAAAGTTTGCCTTATACTTTAACATGACAGGCCCAATCGTAAAAACTATTTTGTGGTTTGTTTTTCTCAAGCACTTCCTGCTGGTAAACCTATGGGAAAAGACGCGTTGGCTGTAGTTGAACAAGGAGTGGTAAGCTGTGCCTACTGTAAATATGTAATTAAATACAAAACCCTTCATGTATGGGCAGGTGTATGGCACTGCTCTTCCACACTGGCTGCAATGCTTGCCACCCCCTGAAACGTAATCCACTGTGCAGGTATACAGTTACAAAAAAAAGTATGTGAACCCCTTGGGATTACATGGAGTTTTGCATGAATTGGGCATAAAATGTGCTCTGAACGTCATCTAAGTCACAACAATAGAAGAACACAGTCTGCTGAACATAATACTACACAAACATTAGATGTTGCCATGGTTTAATTGCACATAACATGTAAACATTCACAGTGTAGAAGTGGCTGGTATGTGTTCAGGAGGTGCTGTCTCCTGATTCCTGTTTTTTTTTTTTTTTACAAATTGCTGAACAGAATACTGTTACAGTGTGGGACCACACCGCAACTGCCAGCCAAGCGTTTGCCTCACAGTTGTGATGTGGCCCCATTGATTTTAATGGGCGAGTTTGATAGGCAGTGCCACCTGTCAAACTCTGCAGCCTGAGTCAAAATTGCTGTGGCTGTGAAGCAAAGCATCATGGTCATGCCATGTGTATAGGTCTGTTGGGCTCTAATGTAAGTATGCAGGTGGGAGGCCAAGGACAGTAAAACTGCAGTTTAGCCGCCTGTTTTTTACCCCCCCCCCCCCCCCCCCCCCCCCCCCAGCTGTGTGAAAGATCACTTAGAAAAGATTTAAAGATTTTACAATAGGTTTAGATTTTATTACATTCATAATTTCTATGATGCAGCAATATTTTTTTTTAATTACATTGTAATTAAAGAGTTAAACACATAATATGACAACAGGTGTTTACCTCTTCCAGCTATACAGTATTTTCAGGACTGAGAAATAACATGTCAGAGTTCAACAGCAGGCAAAGATTGCATTACTTTAAAGTGAAACTAAACCTATTGATTTAACAGTTTCAAAAAACAGTTACATTCCCGGTATGCCAGGAAAGCTAACTGTCATATTTGCTTGTGCTGTCAACCAAACTGTCAAACCATCAAATGGCTGGAGTCATAACTGATCACATGTGCAGCACCATGGCAGTTGTAGATTAACCATTAGCCGCCCGGCCAATGGCCGTT